AAAAAAAATAAGACTCAAAATATAAAAAATAATTAATAAAAATCGATTTCTAAAAGCTAAACACCTCTGTTTCCTGAGATTAAGTTTCTTGTTCAAAAAGCAAAATCCCTGCATATCACTCAGAAACTATGGCAATTCCTGGCCCTGAGCTTTTCTAAACACTGAACTTGTGTGACAGATACAAGAACAGTGGTACTGGGTGTGGAACTGAGATGGTATGCTAGCTGGAAACTCCATACTTCCCTCTACAGCAGTGGTTCTTAACCTTCCTAATGCCACGACCCTTTCATACAGTTTCTCACCTTGTGGTGACCCCCCCCCCAACCATAAAATGAGCTTCATTGTTACTTCATCACTAATTTTGCTACTGTTCTGCATTGGGCGATCCCTGTGAAAGGGTCGCTCGACCCCCAAGGGGGTTGAGAACTGCTGCTCTACAACAAAGATGCGAGAAACCAGCTATAAATGGTAATCCTGGAATCCAGAGCTTCAAGAGCAAGCATAAACACGTACAGGGAAGTAGTTTCTTCTGATGAAAGCAGCAAACAAGGGGTCAGATGAGGGGGTGTCTGCCCACCCAGCCTGGGACGGCATGGCTGTTTTGAATCATACAGAAGCAACTTTATGAATCCCCTCATGAGTCAGAGACACAGTGAAAATAGACCTAGAGCAAGCAAGCCACACACAGTATAATTGAGGAATAGACATTCAGGAAGACTAACTAGAACTCTAGACACTCAAGTGACCACAGGGCCAGGAGGTGGCCAGTCAATAGGGACAGAACCATTTATCAGGTGAGTAAAGAGACTCACCCATTGGAGAAGGCCTGTGAGGTGGCTTTTTATTTCTCAACGGGATGTGGTGGCATCAGGGCGGCCTCTTCCCTTGCACCAAATCAGGGCAGGAGTCAGTTACTTGGCTGCACTCACACAGAATAGCATCGGTGAGCACACCCATGAACGAGAGAAGCGCCTTATCCCTCCATGTCCTCCAGGCGACTAGAAGTGCATTGAGTCCACCTCCACCCCCCTTGTAGCTAGAGTTGCTTCACCTGGTGCCTCTACCACTCTGCGTTCTGCGTGGGGTCTCTCCCCCTCCTGTCCTCCGCATCACCTCGCTCCTCTCGCAGCCTGGGGCACGTTCCTGTGGAAGAGTGCAGCGTGCCCACCCCGTCTGCTGCTGGCGACGTGCCCTTGCTGTTTGTGCCATCAGCAGTACATGCTCCCAAAGTCTGAGCACCACAGGGCTGCTGCCTTTTTGGTTGGCATCTAGTGCATGGGCCTGCACTGCCACGCTGCTTTCTTCTTTGTTCTGCTTTCTTACATGCCTGACTTGTTTTTTTTTATCTTGCTCTCTCAGGTAGGAGGTAGTGATCCATACCACTCATCCACACCCACCACCACACCTGACATACCAGTGCCACACCTGATGTAACCCAACACCGGTTAGGGAATTTGTAAAAGTTAGATCACCTCTACAAGAGATGCTAAAGAGAGTTCTTTGTGAGCATAAGTAACAATAGCAGAGGAGGATTAAGACACATAAGAATATCCCTCGGAAAGCAGCCTAGATAAATAACTTTTAAAAATAAAGGTGCAAAACTGGAATTGGAGAATCAGAGACATCAATGTGCAGATGATGACAAGTACAAAACTAAGAAAGGTAATAAATCGTATAGTTATAGAACGTCCAAATGGAGATGAAGTCAAGATGACATTCAGATAGACTGTTTCAAACTCAGAAGTAGAATACTTTAGTGTGACCCAAAGAAAGTAAACTTTCTAATAAATAAAAGACAATTGTAAGACTCAACAAACACAAAATCAATAGCAGTGAGAGAAATGGCAAAAAGAAAAGCAAACAAAATGAACTTAGCAGAGGAAAATATATGGAACAAAGAAATCATCAACACCACAAAAAACACAAAACCACAACACAATGACATCACTAAATTCATACTTCCCAAGAGTTACACTGAATGTAAGTGGATTAAATGCATCTGTTGGGGCAAGATCGCAGTGAATGGCACAGGACCACACACACACATCCAGAGGGAAGAACAACAGAAACCAGAGGGGAAGGGGCACAGCCGTCGGTGTGAGATTTGGAAATAATTAACCATCTACAATCTGTCAAGGGGCCACGAGGGTTGCGAGGTGGGGGGGAGAGAAGCTGATCCCAAGGGTTCAATGGAAAGTAAATGTCTAGAAAAGAACGATGGAATATATGCATGAATATGTCAGATTGTAACAAGAGTTATAAGAGCCCCTAATAAAATGATTACAAAATAAATAAATGCATCTGTAAAGGGACAGGAACACAATGACTGAGGAAACTTGACCCTTCAATGCTTCCTATAAGTGACACATCTTAGAAACACAAAGCTACACTCCATTACGACAAAGCAGAGAAAGGGAATGGATCATGTAGCTATAGACGATGACCTTAAGGTAGACTGTTTCAAACTTTGAAAGACAGGCGAAATATCGATCTTTAGAAATATAGATGAACATAAGGTAAGAGTCAAAGGATGGAAAACAGTGTACAAACCACAAAGCAGCAGGAGTGGCAGCATTAACTTCTGACAAACTGAACTCTTAAGGTAAACATCAACCTAGGAGACAAAGAACATTATGTGACAAAAGTGTCAATTTGACGGGAAGATGTAACTACACTACCTACACACCCAGGGAAAGAGATTCAGAAGATATGCATCGAACATTAACAGACTTGAAAAGCAAAATACACCCACAACTTTATATAAAACCAAACTCACTGCCATTGAGTCAATTCAAACTCATAGCCACCCTGTAGGTCAGGGTCGAACCGCCCCGGGGGATTCTGAGACTAAAGCCTTGGTGATCTCCTGAGAGTTTCTGGTGATTTCAGACTGCCGCCCTTGTGGTTAGCAGCCCAATACATAATGCTTGTGCCACAAGGGCTCATAAAGGGTGCAACAACCAAGAAGAAACCCAACCAAGATGTAGATGATCTGAACAACACAATCATCGAACTTGACCTCAGAGACGTAGAGAATAGCACCAACAACAGCACGACGCACATTCTTGTTGCACACACACACTGGGATCTTTCTCCAGAATAGACCATGTGCTAGGCCACAAAGTACGTCTCAATAAATTAAAAACATATCAAAATGCTACGCAACATCATCTCAGATAACAATGCTTTAAAATTAGAAATCAATACTAGGAAAAAAACAAGAGGAAAAGTCAAATACATGGAAACCGATTAACATCCTGCTTAAAAACTACAGGGTAAAGAAGAAATTTTTAAAAAATGAAACAAAAAAATTTCCTTGAATCAAACAAGAATGAAATCACAACATCCTAAAATCTTTGGAACACAAAGTAATACTCTGAGGCCAACTTATACTACGTACATCAAAAGAAGATAGAGCCAAAATCAACACCTGAGCCCAATTAAAAAGAGAGCAGCAAAAATAAATAAGTCCACAAACACTAGGAGAAATCAAATAATAAAAGTCTAGAGCAGAAACAGACCAAACAGAAAACAATAGAAAGAATAAACAAGAGTAGAAGTTGGTTCTTTGAAAAAATTAATAAAAGAGACCACTGGCAAATCTAGCCAAAAGAAAGTGGGAGAAAATTCAGGTAACACAGATACAGAATGAAAAGGATGATACCAGAACTAAACCAACTGCAAACTGGTGACAGAATGTTCCACAACTCCGAAAAAATGGACAACTTTGTAGAAACACACAGTTTTCCTGAACAAACACAGATTGAGGTAGAAAACTTGACCAGACTCTTAACTCAAGAAAATGAAGAGATCATAATAAAAATCCCAACAATAAAAAAAAAAAATACTGACCCTGATATCTTCACTGGTGAATTCTATCAAACATCGAGAAAAGCTGGCATCAGTTCTAGACACACTATTCCAGAATATTGAAAAGACAAAATTCTGAGCTGATTCCATGAAACAAGCTTAAACCTGATATCAAAGACAGGCATATACACTACTAAGAAAAGAAAACTATAGACCAACATCATGAACACAGACACAAATGTTCTCAATAAAATCGTAGCCAATAGAATATAACATTAAATCCAAAAAATAATATGCCATGAACGTGTGGGATTCACATAAGATATGTAAAGGTGGTTGGAAATTAGAAAAACAATCAACATAATCTGTCACAAATAAAACAAAGGAAAAGATCATATGATCATATCAATCAACAGAGAAAAAAGCATTTGGTAAAATCCAACACCTATTTATCATCAAAACCCTCAGCAAAATAGAAATGGAAGGAAAGTTCTGCCGTATAATCAGGGATACATACAAGAAACCAACCGTCAACATCATTCTCAGTGGAGAGAGACCAAAAGCACCTTGGTAGTTACATCATCTGGTGTCAATTTGCAGATTCAGAGTGAAGGGGTGGAGTCTTGGCTGTCAATCAGATCATAGCCAATGAGGCCTCTGTGTAGCCATGGCCTTCTCCTGAGGATTCTGGCTCCTCTTGCATTCCTCCTGGGAGGTGGGAGACCTCTCTCTCAGCTCATTCCCTGCGAGACATTTCTGAGACAAGACACAGAGAGCTATGCTGATGCCACCAATGCCCTGAGCTGGAGGAGCCACATGGAGACCCCTGCCAGTGCTGAGATGCTTACACCACCACTAGATCCACAGGACTTCCCACCCACTGGCCCGTCATCTTCCTGCAATCTGTGTTGTTGCATGTGTTTTGCGAGTCTGAAGAAGACATTATAGATTGATATCAGACATATGGGCTGATATCAGGTTTGTGGACTTGATCTGGACTGGGCTGGGATGTTTTCTCAATATTCAATTGCTCTTGTACATAAAGCTCTTTCTCTTATGAGTGTATATGAATGTGTTTCTCTAG